GACAGCGTGGCTGATGAGTCTGTTCAAGTGGGTGTAGGTCGGGCGCTCGATGTCCAGGTTCCTGCGGCAGATGTCATAGATGGCCTCGTTGTCCACCATAAAGGCGCAGTCCGAGTGCTCCAGGGTGGTGTGTGTAGTGAGGATGGAGTTGTAGGGCTCCACCACAGCAGTGGAGACCTGTGGTGCAGGGTAGATGGAGAACTCCAGCTTGGACTTCTTGCCGTAGTCAACGGAGAGTCGCTCCATCAACAGGGAGGTGAATCCAGAGCCGGTGCCACCTCCAAAGCTGTGAAACACGAGGAATCCCTGGAGGCCTGTGCACTGGTCAGCCTGTGGAGAGAGATGCATGGGATTTCTCTGAAATGGATTTCTTTGTAAACATTTGACTATTCAGAAGTCCTTCAGGGCCTGGTCCATCCCAGCCATGGGCAGCCACTGACAGCTCCCAGGGCACAGTGGGGCTCGCCCCATGCTCCCACCCCCAGCAGAATGCTGGACCCCAAACCAAGGAGGCCACATCCCCCCCTCTGTGGTTACCTACCAGCTTTCGGATCCTGTCCAGCACTTGGTCGATGATCTCTTTGCCGATGGTGTAGTGCCCTCGGGCATAGTTGTTGGCAGCATCCTCCTTGCCGGTGATCAGCTGCTCAGGGTGGAAGAGCTGGCGGTAGATTCCAGCCCGAACTTCATCTAGGAGAGAGCAGGGCAGTGTTGAGCCTGGCGCAGGCTGTAGGTTTGAGCTGGCCGCCAAGCAGCTGGGCAGGTGCCAGCACCCATCCCTCGCCCTCCTCCCAGCTCCGCCTGCCGGGGAGCGGCCAGGGACCCACATGTCACAGGGCCATCACCAGCATCAGGTTTCTCTGGCAGGAGGTGGCTGCCACCTCCCTGCACAGGAGCTCAGCTTCTCCCACCCATTGGGAGCTGCCTGTCCACAGCGTGCAGCGGCACAGCTGCTGTGCCGGTTTGGCTGGTTTCTCTCTGTGCACATGTGGCAGCAGAGACTCCCAGTACTGCTGCCTCTAGGACACTTCAGGAACAAAAGCTGCTGCTCGGGTTTGTGGCTTCTCCTGGGGAAAGGAGAGCCCTCAGGTTGAACCTGGTGCGGGATACTGCCAGTAGACCACGAGAACCAGCTGCTCGCTCCAGCGGTGCACCCTGGGCCATGCACACTCCAGCACTCACCGATCACGGTGGGCTCAAGGTCCACAAAGATGGCCCGTGGGACGTGCTTCCCAGCCCCGGTCTCGCAGAAGAAGGTGGTGAAGGAGTCGTCCCCTCCGCCGATGGTTTTGTCGCTGGGCATCTGCCCGTCGGGCTGGATGCCGTGCTCCAGACAGTACAGCTCCCAGCAGGTGTTGCCCATCTGGACGCCGGCCTGGCCGACGTGGACAGAGATGCACTCGCGCTGGGGAGGGGGAGGAAAGGTTAGACCCCGGCACAGCTCTGTCCAGCCCAGGGAGGGCTCTGCCCAGTAGTGGTGCCCCACGGCCATCTGCACAGGACTGGTTCTGGCCAGCAGCCCCAGGGAGCATATTTTCCTTTGGGTGACCTCCTGTGTCCCCCTGAGGGGTTCCACACAGGTGTCACTGCCCTCAGCCATGCACAGGCACCATGCCATGTCAGGAGCCAGCTCTGGCATCCCTCCTGCCCAGCCCTCACTGGGAGCCATCAGCCCCATGGACTCTGGCCGGGGCTGTC